TGTAAGATATGCTTACAATTATTCTCAGTTTTGATATTATTTGTAAGATATGCTTACAATTATACTCATACTCATCGATCACTTTAGAGAATTTTGGCGCTGGTAATATAATATGTAGCAAATGGTGGACCACCTTATTCTCACTCGATAATCGTCGCTATTTGATTCATTCTTGCATTTCCCATCAATGGTGATAGTACAATTTGAAATAATAATATCCGATTAGTCACGTTTGTATATTTTACATGCCGTATGAAGCCACGGTTTAACTATCAAAATAATTGATTCTCTTCGAAAAGAATTGACGGCCATTTTGAATATTTCCTTCTAGCTCACTCTTAAATTCCACTTGTTGACCATGTTTCTTTTGAATCTCCCTAATATTACACAAAATGTCATTATTGGAGCAGAACTAATACGCATAGAAGCGAATGCTTCGGCCCATACCAACTTCCAATTAAAGAAAAAATAAATAAAGCAGATAATTTATACATTACAATTTAAAGGACAATATTGGTGTCAGTCATTATAAAATATGTGATAGAGGTCGTTAAATACATCCCAAATATGATTTTAACACAGAGATCATTGCTACGGGAGATGTGTAACAAGCACGTTAAGAAACGGGAAGTGACGTCAAACATGACAAACACGAGTTATCCTTCTATAAAACTGACTGAAGTAACAAGCGGTAACAGACAAACAATCGAATTTTATTTCACTAATAATTCAGTTGAAGATGAAAAGTTGTTATATGAGACGATGAGAGGGGTATCTGACAATCCAAAAAAAGAATTGGCTGTCAGTAGATAAAAGATAACGAACAAATTAGAAAAAGTCCGTGCATTGCCATGTTTTTATTAAGAACAGAATGAATAAAAAAGGGGGAATGCAGGGGATTTTTCTATTTTTCTCATGTCCCTTATCTAGTGACAGCCAATTCTATTTTTGAATTGTGAGATACCCTCTTGCCGTCCCATATAATAACTCTTCAACTTCAACGGAATTATCAGTGAAATGAAATTCGATCGTTTGTCTGTTACCGCTCGTTACTTCAGTCTGTTATATAGAAGGACAACTTATGTTTGTCATGTTTGGCGTCACTTCCCGTTTCTTCACGTGCTTGTGACACATCTCCCGTAGCAATGATCTCTGTGTTAAAATTATATTTGGAATGTATTTAAACAGTGCTATCACATATGTAATAATGACTGACACCAATAATATTGTCCTTTAATTAAAACGTTTAATATATGAAGGCATATGTGTTGTGTATGAAAAGCCTGTGGGTATGAAGTTAAAGTCTATATATTAGTTCAAGACATTCTGTTTATTCAACCATAGAGAAGAGCATGGCGCTTTTGGCGCACGTATATCGTGCTACAAAATAGTATAGATCCAATCAGTGACGTAGTGCACATAAGGTGGAGTTGCGCTATTTTTAGTAGCATTGTTTGTAGAGCGCGTGCCAATATCAAGCAGACGACAGAAGTAAATAAATATATAACTTCTCCTTCCGTCTTAAAATGAAAAATGTCTCAATCTAAAAATGGACAATATAATACAATAGATCGATGTATATTTTTAAAACTAAATAAAACACTATTACTTATAGTTATAGCAAAATATCAAAATGACATGAGTGAATACATGTACATGTAGCGAAATATCAAAATGACATGAGTGAATACATGTACATGCAGAAAAACAATTAAGACATTAAAATGTAAATTTGGGTTAACAAAACAAACACTATAAAATGTTCATAATTTATGATCATACCGTTTAGGTATTTTAATCTTTCTGGAAGATTTACGGATTTTAATGTCAGTGTTTTCACTTTTAGAAATATTGTCATTTTGATCAGACTATCATTTGAACCAGCACTTAAATCTGAATTTTCATTGTTAATGTTATTATTTCTATTTCGCAACTGATCAATATGTCGTCGAAGATAATTATCACCAGTTCGAACAGTGTAATACCGTGAACCATCGCACGAAACAACTCTCCCTTGGAGCCATTTATCTCCTTGACCATAATTTCGAATCCATACTTTATCATCGGTTTGCAAACTTCTAGCATTATTATGACTAGTAACGGTCGATGACTTATCATTTTGAACATGCATAGTCATATCAGGACGCAGTAAATCCAGTCTTGTACGTAACTCGAGTTTGAAATGTAATTTCGCCGGTGTCTCTCGTGTAACACTATGTGGAGTGGTTCTGTAATGCAGTAGAAACTTATGCAAGTTTTCTTGTAAATTGTTCTTATCATCTTTGACTGATTTCATTCTTTGTTTGAATGTCTGTACCATACGCTCAGGAAGTCCATTTGTAGATGGTTTATGTGGGAGTTATATGTAACTTTATTTTTTAAAAATAACCAAATTGAGTTATCTATTGCTATTATATTTATTACCCATACAGGCCTCCATAATAACCAACCCATCACAGCATCGCGTCGGATTAGGCCTCACTTTCGTATTCGGCCTCGCCTTCATATTCGGCCTCACTTTCAGAAGTCGTCTGCTAGCGTCAAGGCAACCGAAAAAGGAGCTCAACTTTTCTCTCCTTTCCTATCCCCCAAGTCTTTTAAAATGCCTTCCGTAGGGAGCGCCCACATACAAGGACTCAGGGAACCCGGAACATCCAATCGGCTGTTAATACGGACACTAGCGCACCTACAGATCGCCGTTCCAGGTCGGCTTCAGCCCACAGGATTAGAGAATATGGCCGCCATGACTTGTCACGTGACCATAATCCAAGCTCGGCTAAGAAACGAACCCGATACGAAGATGTACCTGAAAATTGGTCCTCTAAAAAACTCTTGTCAAGAATTACAAGAATTAGGGATGGTGTTACCTACTAGTGTATCCAATAAGATTCTTATTAAAGTTTACAAACAACTGAAAGATGGCACGAGATCTGAGTGCGAAAATGTGGCTAATTTAACAGAACCTGAATACCAAGATGCGGCTATCGTGATGGACGCTTCCGGCAACAAAAACAAAGATGGCAGCGCCCATGGAACGACGTCTCGTTCGAGCGAAGCAGTATTTCAACAGATGAAGTACACTGTTTAAGATTGGAAATAGCCGAGGTTCAAGCCTCACTAGCTGATATCCAGAACAAGAACAAGCTGTGACAAGAGAAATTGGAATACCTGTTGACATCGAGATAGAGAACAGGAACAGATCAACATCACATCACTTACCAGCGTCCCTTAGACTTAGAAGTAGTCATAGCATCAGGCCTTCAGGTATGGGTTTGTCTAATCACAGAGTCCCTGTAGATAGTCTCCCCCCAGTGAATGTAGTCCCTCAACATATTCGTAAAGCAATACACTCGCACAAACATGTCAATTTGGCTATGCTTCTTATACCAAGATGGAAACCAGATCGTGGTTAAAGCCAATGCCCCTCGACTACAAAGGAACCTGTCCATCCACGAATTTCGGCTGGCATTTTCTAGATTTAAGAACGTCATTTTTGAGAAGGAGCCAGAGAGACGACAGGAATTAGACGGATACTCGGATTTGATTGATGGCCTATTTATGCAGTTTGGAGGCTCACAGTTCTATGAATACCATAATGCATTCTCAAAGAAGGCAGAACAACTGGAAGTCATTTTGAAGTGAAAAGTTGACTGGTCATCTAGAGACACCTCACTCTATCTTAGACTGTTTGCAGGTATCAGGAGCCTCCCTTGCGAACATTGTCAGAGTTCTTTACATGTTTCCGGCTTCTGTCCCCTCACCGTGACAAACCCTACATTAACAACCAGAGGACGTCAAAGTATCTATAAGACAGATTACACTAAACTTAGTAACCATAACCAGCAACTCAGCAGTATAAATCCTGTAATAATTGTCGTGCTGCCCACCCATCTTATGAGTGTCCAAAAGGGGGAATTATTAATAAAGCTAACCAACTCGATGGAGGAATAAACCCCAATCATCGCAAATGACAATTCCCAGTGGATAACACAGATGATCTTGTTACCAGTTTGAATACGTTCCTGGTTCCTGTTATATTTTTAAAGCTTCCACACCGATAAATATTCCGTCACTAGAATTCGAGCTAAAACAGCATCCAGACAAACTTTTTGTGGCCCAACTTATGGAAGGTTTAAGTTTAGGCTTCGACACAGGTTTTTCATCACTTCCTACTGATAATTATGAGTGCAAAAACCTTCTTACGGCCAGGTCGAATCCTGAGGTAGTTACGTAATTGGTCCATTTGATAATCCTTCTTTCGCGAATTTTAGGATAAATCCGTTAGAAATAAGTGAGAAATAAGTGAGGAAGATTTCTCAGTGTCGTACATCTCGGTTGACGATGCCATATCGGCCATACAATACTATGGTAACGGTGCCATACTAAACAAGACAGATATCGTGGATGCATTTAAGTTAATACCTATTTCTCCAGCTCTATGGACTTACCATGGAGTTCGATGGAACGAGAAGTACTATTTTTTCGTCAGACTGTGTTTTGGTTCACGAAGCAGCCCCAAGATATTTACATTGCTCTCTAAAGCTATTCATTTTGTTGCCACACATAATTATGGGATTCCTAATTTACTGTATCTGTTGGATGATTTCTTATCAATCACCAGTGCCCAGTCTGATGGCGTAGAAACTATGCGAGTTCTGAAAAGTGTGTTTTATAATCTTAACATTCCTATCCATCAAAACAAAACAATAGGACCAGATACAACTATGACATTTCTTGGGATCGAATTAGATACTATAAATATGCAAGCATCGCTACCAGTAGATAAAATCAAACGAATTAAAGAAATATTATTACAAAATTACTGTGCACGAAAAAGAATTACTAATTAACGGGAACTTTTGAGCTTGCTAGGCCACCTTAACTTTGCTTCTAGAGTTATTGTACCTGGGAGAAGTTTTGTGTCATATTTACTATCCTTGATTTCAGTGGTTAAGGAATTGCATCACCACATTTTCCTGAAGGCTAACTGTCGAAAAAATATGTGCATGTGGTTATCATTCCTTGACGACTGGAATGGTAAATCATTCTTCTATGACGTCAATATTACAGAATCGACAGACATGGAAATGTATACGGATGCAAGTGGGGCCAAAGGTTATGGTGGCTATTTTCAAGGGAAATGGTTTTCATGTTCCTGGCCAGATGACTTAAATTTAGGACAAGACGACATGTCTATTGCATTCATGGAACTAGTTCCTATTGTTACCTGCGCTGTCATATGGGGACATATGTGGGCTAAGAAATGCATATTATTCCACTGCGATAATATGGCTACTGTGGGCATCATAAACAAAGGATGAAGTAAATCCAATAATATATTGAAACTTATGAGAAGGCTAACTTGGTGTGCAGTTCAATTTAATTTTGTCCTCCAGTTAAATTTAATTTTGTCCTCCATGCAGTACACATCGAAGGTCGTTACAATATTTTAAGTGACTGTCTTTCTCGTTTACAGGTGGAGAAGTTCAGAAAACTAGATCCGCTCTCAGAACAGTATCCGGCCGCTACTCCACCTGTCCACCTGTACCTCACTTAGAACTAATAGTACAAGACCTTCTTAATACAGCATTAGCACCCAGTACCATCGTCGTGTACAATACCGGCTTGTCAATGTTCAAAAGATTTTTGCTTTTATTTAATCTGTGGGGCCATGTGGAGACACTCCCAATGGTAAATGAAATTGTCCTCCTGTATTTTGAAGCATACTGTGCCAATCAGAAATTGAAATACCAGACAATTAAACTGTACTTAGCTGGAATTCGCTACCATTACATTCGATGTAATATTAGTACTCCGTTGACTCAGATTGATAAGCTCTATAACATACAGTATGCCTTGAGAAGGGGTAAAAAGGTGGAGAACAATTCCAGACCCAAAAAGCTTCCTATTACTTTCGATTTATTAGTCAAAATTTTTAAAGCTATCCCCATTAAGGTTAATTTTTATGATGCGTCGATGCTATCTGCAGTCTGTTCTTTAGCTTACTTTGGATTTTTGCGCTGTGGAGAATTTACTATTAAATCAAATGGTAAATTTAACCCTAAGAAAAACTTAACAGTCTCTGATGTCATACTAAACAAAAATGGATTTGTTTTAAATCTAAAAATGTCAAAAACAGAAGTTTTCAGATGAGGGGTAAAGGTACCATTTGAAAGACAACAAATTGAAACTTCACCTATTAGTTGTCCAGTCAAACTTATGTTAGACTACCTTCATTTAAGACACAAAAGTGGAGCCGGTAAAATTGATCCATTATTAGGGTGACCGATGCACTCTACAGAAATACAGTCCTCCGCTGATAGTTCGAGACTACCACTGAAGCGTGCACATTCGCCGTGTTGAGACCAACTTTCTGACAGTATGATACTATAAATAGCCATGGCACGTGCAATTCTCTACAAATCTATCAACTATTACAGCCGTAAAAAATTTATTGTTGACGATTTTGAATAGCAGTAAAATTAAGCTTCTTGGTTATTACAGCAGATTTAGAAATTACATTTGTTTCATTTTTTAAATCACTTTATCATTAACTGTACCGTTATGAGCGGCATCTTTTGGTTTAGTACAAATAATATCTCTGAAACACTCGGGTTAGACAGGAACATGATACTAGCAGTAGTTTCATTTTACTTTTACAAGCTTCTTAAAACAATTGTTGAGCTACCTAACGTGCTTATTTCTAAATTCAATTTCTTGTTCTAGCTTTCTGTTATGTTTCGTAAAAAAGTAGTCTTGATTATCCCGACCTGTCAATCAGACGTAGAATGGTCGATAGACTGGTTAAGCGAGACTAATTTCAAAACAAGGGCACGTAACCTATCCTTTACTCAAAAGTGTCTGGATGTTATGGACGACACTTGGAACCAGTTTTCAGTCTATTATTTATAGATGTTTAATGGTCATAGCTTATTAAGTACAACATGATCGTTTATTTAGTGACTATAATTGGGTGAAACTGATTTGAGGCTTGGCATATATATAAATATTGTGGCGTAATTGTCCAGATATTTGAAGATATTTATTTATGGTGGGTCACCCTACCATTATTCATTAATAGTAAAGGAATGACTCTAAATAGAGACTATTTTATTCAAATTAAAGAAATTATTGAGTCTTTAGGTCTCCCGTCAGATGGTTTTAACAGCCATAGTTTCAGAATAGGAGCAGCTACTACTGCTGCAAAGGTTAATATACCAGACCACTTGATCAAAACTATGGGACGTTGGTCATCTGACTGTTACCAGAGATATATCAGAACAGATCTTAAGGCTGTTACTATTGCCACCGCATAAACCTTCATTCCATTTGGCATCCTATTAAGCTACTGCTTAATTTTATCCCCTCAAAAAAAATGTGGTTCAGCAATTTTAGACCAAATTGGGTAAACACGAATTTCTAAATTAGTAACCAAGGCAACCATGGCATCCAATTCTGTGATTCTGTATTTCGGTTCCTTTGGGAGCTGCCTTGGGTTCCTTCGGTTCCTTCGGGAACTGCCTTCGGTTCCTTCGGGAGCTGCCATCGGTTCTTTCGAGAGCTGCCTTTTTACTCTTACCTGTCTCTAATTCCGGTAGACCTAGATCTACTGCCAAACCATGGCTTGCCTGTCTCATTGTGTAATATTATGCTGAACATGAGTGGACTCCTGTACTCCCATATTGCCAAAGATTTAAATTGTTATGATTATATTATAATTAGACCTTAATAAATGCTAATATTAATAAGATTTAAATTGTTATGATTATATTATAATTAGACCTTAATAAATGCTAATGTTAATGATTTGAGTTAATTTAAATGGAGCAGTAAATACATGTTTAACACCATTCGTTTTTAAGAAACACTGAAACTCCTGTGACACAAATTGCGGTCCGTTATCAGACACTACTTGTAATGGCAAACCATGTAAAGCAAAATAACTTCTTACACATTTTACTAAATCAGTAGCAGTTGTATTTTTCATAATTGTTATTTCTGGCCATTTAGAATAACTATCAACAGCGATCAGAAACATATTTTTAGAAAAGGTCCTGCAGAGTCTAAATGAACACGTTGCCACGGTCCTGTAGGCCATGACCATGAATGTGTAGGGGCTAAAGCAGGCATACCCTTAATCTGTTGACAAGAGTTACATCCCTTACACATATTCTCAATATCAATGTCAATGTTTGGCCACCATATGAAACTTCTAGCTACAGCCTTCATACGAACAATGCCATTATGTCCTGCATGTAACTTGTTGAGGACATAAGGCTGATATTTAGTCGGAATAATCATGCGCATTCCCCAAAGCAGACATCCTTGATGTATTGTGATTTCACTTTCCTATGGAAAAAAGGTTGTAGATTCACGTCTTTATTATGTTTCCAATGCCAACCTGACGTACATGCAAAATATACCTTAGATAACAGTCTTTACGAGTCTCTTTTTGAACTTGTACAGCTGTAACTGGTAGTTCTACGACTGGATCATGTTTATTTTCATTTTTACGAAAAGTTTTTAAAGGTAATCTAGAAACAAAATCTGCATTGGCATTCTCTAATGAAGAACGATATTGTATGGTGTAATTGTACGCACTTAACATCAGTGCCCATCTTTGCATTCTGGCAGCAGCAAGAACTGGAATCGGTTTCTGTGGACCAAATAAAGCAGTTAATGGACGGTGATCTGTAATCAGAGTAAAATGTCTCCCGTAAATGTACTGGTGTAAATGTTTGACAGCATATATTATGGCTAATGCCTCTTTATCAATTTGCGAATATCCTTTTTCAGTTTTATTGAAAGTTCTGGAAACAAAGGCAATAGGACGTTCAGAACCATCAGACATGATATGTGACAATACAGCTCTGCATCCATAAGGCGATGCATTACAAGCCAAAATGACAGGTTTCGTCACATCGTAATGTACTAAAATGTCACAATTAGCAATCAAGTTTTTAGAATCTATGAAAGCTTTTTCACACTGATTTGTCCATAACCATTTAACATCTTTTTGTATAAGATTATTCAAAGTATTTAAGACTGTAGCAATGTTAGGTAAAAATGATCTATAGTAATTTAGCAGTCCTAAATATGAACGTAATTCAGTCACATTCTGTGGAGCAGGTGCATCTGTAATTGCACATACTTTCTCGTCAGATGTGTGTAAACCATGTTTATCTATTCTGTGTCCAAGATATTCCACGCAATTGTGAAAAAATATACACTTGTTCTTCTTAACATGTAAACCAAATTCGCTAAGTTTCTGTAAGACAGCTTCCAAATTTTCAAGATGTTCAGCATCACTAGACCCTGTAACTAAAATGTCATCTTGATAACAAAGCACACCTTTAAGACCTAGTAAGATCTGGTCTATTGCCTGTTGAAATAAACCTGGAGCTGTAGTAACACCAAAAGCTAACCGGTTGTACTGATACAAGCCTTTACTGGTATTAATTGTAAGATATTTCCTTGAATCAGGATCAAGTATCATCTGTTGGTAGGCATGTGCAAGATCAATCTTTGTAGACTTTTCACCACCAGATAACTTAGCAAACATATCTTCAATACGCTGAGATTGATAATTACAAGGATAGAGAAAAGGATTGACTGTTACTTTAAAGTCACCACAGATCCGCACACTTGAATCGGGTTTCACAACAGGAACAATGGGTGCAGCCCATTCACTATGGCTTACTTTTGATATAATACCATGTTCTTCTAATCTATCAAGTTCATTAGAAACCTTTTCCTGTAGAGCATAGGAAACATTTCTTGGTTTGTAGAAATTAGGTATACAACCTTCTTTCACATGTATTTTAGCAGTTATGGACTTCATTGTACCAATTTCATCTTTGAAAACATCACTGTACTTATAAAGTAAATCATCAAGATTTGTGGACATCTTGTATAAGTCAGATGTTCTGTTGTCTGTAGTTTTCCAATCAAGCTTAATGTACTTTAACCATTCCCTGCCTAGAAGTGGTGGACCAATACCATCGATGACATACATTTTCAGTCGAGACTTGCGTTGGTTGTTGTATTCAACTGTAACATCAATGAGACCTTTCGGTGTCATTGTCTCACCTGTATACATTCTTACTTGAAACATGCAAAGATGTAACAGTAGATGTGAAAACTGTTGTAAAGTTTCAAAGGCATTATGGAAAATCTGGAACCAGTGTCAAGTTCACAAGATATTGGTGTACCATTTATCTTCAGATTAACCCATAAAACGTCATCTTGTTTCTTCATTTTATCATTTTCATTGCTGAATAAATGATTTAGTACTTCGCCAATATCTTCACACGTCTTCACTTTCTTGTATTGAATGGATATTAGAATTTTTCGAATTTTGTTTTCCGTAATTTTTAAAATATCTTTTCTTGTAATTACTGAAATTACCACTGTACTTAGACTTATTACTGGCAGAACTGGAATTATCACTGTACTTGGACTTATTACTGGCTGAATTCATGCATACTTCTGTAACATGACCTCTTTTACCACATCCCTCACAGGACAATGAATCTTTTCTGTAGCATTTACTAGCCAAATGTGTTGTAGCATTGCATCTGTAACATCGAACTGGACCCATCTTGTCGACGGCAGGTACATTCTCGTTACTCATAACTGGTTTGGAACTCAAACTCGGACGTCTTGAACTTTGGCTTAACTCTTTACTTTTGTAGCAGTTTCAATACTAATCTTTTTCGGACAATCACTTCTTTTGTATAGTTTCACTTCGTACACCAATCACTAACTGGTCACGTAGTCTTGCACTATCATCACCCTGTACACATTTATGGAATTTGAACCTTTCGACAATTTCCAAAGGTTTTGGAGGATAATAGTTTTGCAATATATTTGTAAGTTCATCCAACGTTTTTACTGCTGATAAATCAGGAGCGACTAATGACTTCAGTAAACAATAACACTCGCTGCCAATTAAGGTAAAAAATGTGTCAACTTTCTTTGCATCTTGTACTCTGTTGGCGATGAAATAGAGTTTAACCCTCTCGGAATAGGATTCGAAGTCGCCATCTTCCTCCCTGTACGGCTCTATGGTACCAATGGCAAGAGATGAAGGCCCCGGCATGGTTGCATGTATGTATGTATGTATAGAAAATGTACTTCCGTCTGTACTAGTAGACGCAGAAAACTGCCAAAACCGGGTAAGGAAGAATGTAGAAATTAGGAAAAAACTGAGTGTAACAGCTTTCATTAGTGTACTGGAGCCAAGGTGGCTAGGTGGGTAAGGCGCTGGCTCCCTAGCCGGGAGGTCGGGTGTTCGATCCCTGCATTGGCCGAGAGAAAGTTCATCCCGATTTTCCGACGTGGTTTCCCCTTGTCAGTGATGCAGGACGGAGGGCCTGACAAGGACAGCTGTCTAGTCCTTCGGATGAGACGATAAACCGAGGTCCCGTGTAAACATTGGAATGCACGTAAAAGATCCCTTGGCAGTTGGAATTCGATATAAGAGTAGGCGATATTGCCGCTGCCCGGGCAAAATTTCCCTCATAGCACACTGTATGGCGTATGCCCGTCTTCATTAGCCCAGGTTAGGAGCAGAACAGTAGGACGTTAAACCCCATTCATTTCATTTCATTAGTGTACTAATGACTTCTCTGTACTTTAAACTTCATTTATCCCATCCTCGTCGCCATTGTTGTTAAAGTCTATATATTAGATAAGACATTCTGTTTATTCAACCATAGAGAAGAGCATGGCGCACGTATATCGTGCTACAAAATAGTATAGATGCAATCAGTGACGTAGTGCACATAAGGTGGAGTTGCGCCATTTTTAGTAACTTTGTTTGTAGAGCGCGTGCCAATATCAAGCAGACGACAGAAGTAAATAAATATATAACAATATGCATATCAATAATGTAATAATAAATAATGGTATTGCTTGTACTTTTGTCTTGTCTATTTTACTTGTGTGTTTGAACATTTCTCTGATTATAATACAATCGCTTGGGCTGGGTTTATTTTTCATTTGAGATACTAACCAAAATTTCCTATGAGAAACAAAATAAATTGTATACATGTTGATAAAATATCAAGCTTTATTCAAATGAGATGATAGAGAAGTAAAACATACATTTATGTCATTGCAATAAGACCAACACTGAATAGACCACAGTATGTCATCCTTGAATTAAACATGCATTATGCAAGAGCTAAATCTGCCTATTGCAGGTCTTTCTTTAGGCCTGAAATGTTTTCTAAAGTATTAATTAGACATTAATTAACTGATCCAGGCCTTAATCAACTCTCGATGGCATCAGATTTCTCTGATATTAAACAGATTAAAATGGTTCAGCGATACTTTGATTTAATCAAATATGGAGGACCGAGACTTAGCTTCGATCAACCAGTACGGTGGTTGAAATTATTGCACACGTCTGTCAAACCTTCAAAGGCTAATATCTTCGCTTGCAATAGAGTAATTTGAATGAAATTTTCAAATTATTCATTTTACATCATCTACTTTCGAACTATTATAGCAAGAATGGCTAGTTCTTTATTTAAATCTTACATAATGTATCTTTAAGTGTAACAGGTAAAAAGAGTCACACTTCATCCAACTATTTCAGAAAATCCATTAACAGTGTCGCCTTTCGGTCTGAGATCAAAGGGGGTCTGAGATTAAGGGCAATATTTCGTGTGAAA